AAATAGTTACAGTAATAGCAATAGTTACGCAGGGCTTACGCATAAAGTGCTTTTTTAGATCTCCAATAATTCCAAGTAGGTTAGGAAGATTGGACATAAAAAAACAAGGAAATAACTATGAAATAACAGCTGCCAAGGATGCTACTTGCAAGATTTTTTCAAAGATATATTAATAGTGAGTATAGCAGAAAAAGTGCAGCTTTGCAAAATGTCTCAAATATAACTCCCGAGGCAAGATCCAAAGTATGAGAAGGAATTTTACTATCTTATGCGAAAATTAGTACGTGTCGCCTGGCTACACCCAGCTAACATTTGATTCGGTCAGCCTACCATTTTCGTATGGAGTAATTACTGCAATCGTTTAGCGTACCTTAGGGAAGAGATTCGGTAGGATAGTCTAATTTTAACGATCCAGAATACATTTCAAATTGTTCTTGGATGCTGAAACAATAATTCGTGCTCATCATTCAAACAGTAAGATTTTCAATCGCATAAATTCTCAAAAAGTTGGCGCGCCTATTGGATTTAGGTAGATATGAAGCCTAAAAGAAGGTTAGGACGGGCTTCCCCAGGATAATGATTGGTTCATCACCAAATGTTTTATCGAGTGGGCCAATTTTTTTAAATACAGTATGTCGTTAATGTCATTTGTAAGCATGTTCAATTAGCAGCCGAATAGGTATTTGAAGGAAATGAGGGATGATATGCAGCCTGATGGGCAAGGGTGGGCAAAGAGCTAATGATCAAGATTAAGGAGTAGCACCTGCGAATTCCTCGATATGTGAATACTGCGGGTAACACAATCTACTTTGGCCAGAGAAATATCAATTGATGCTGTCATAATTTTTCACAGTTCTGCACCAGATTGTAGGAAATAGGTACACTGGAGCCGATTGATATGCTGATTACGAATACGATACCCAAACATATATCGAATGACTCTATTGACTTATGTTTCTCCAAATTTTTTGCTATAAGATTCTGCAAATTAGTGAACTATGATAACTTCGCAAGCTTTAAAGATGGTACTCCATCAGGAAAACACCAATTGATTTCAACCCATGCGTTTCGCTGCTCTTGCTCTGGAGTGCTGGAAATCGGCGAACAATGGTTTAATAAAATGCTTATAATGAATAAGGAAAATGATTGAATCATTTGGAATAATATCTACTATAAAATATTCTTTGTCTTTTTAGTATTTTTCTCTCTAAGCCGCTAGCAATTAATGTACAGGTGTATGATAAGGTGGTGGATAAGAGTGTGATAGCTTATTCCTAACTTAGATTCGTTTGATTCAAATTACACGTGGGGAAAAGATACAACTTCAGATTTTCTGGGTATATGAAACTTGTTAACCAGAT